GAAGCTATTCATTCACAAGGATATATTCATAAAGATTTGCATAGCGGTAACATCTTACAAGACGATTTAGATAATGCTTATATTACGGATTTAGGTCTTACATCGCTTGCTAAAAACGACAACGAAATTGTTGGAATTTTACCTTATATTTCACCAGAGGTTTTATCGGGTCAACCATATACACAAGCAGCAGATATTTATTCATTTGGTATAATTATGTGGGAAATATTAATGGGAGAAAAAGTTTTCGATGGTTACGAATTTAATGACGAATTAGCATTAAAGATTTGTGGAGGATTGCGACCAGAATTCTCACCCAGAACACCCGAATGTTATGTCAAATTAGCTAAACAATGTATGGACTCAGATCCAGAGGAAAGACCTACTACTACATATATTAATGCGTTGATTACTATTTGGATTGAAGAGCTTGCGCATAAAAGCAGCAAAGGAATATTTAAAAAGCAATTTTTAGAAGTTGATAAGCAATCCTTAGAAGTTGATAAGATGGACAAAAGACCGGCAAATATTGTACAAAAATATCAAGATCATAATAAGTACACATCAAAGACCATTAACACACTAGAGATCACGAAATCATTATCAAAAATGGGAATTGCAAGTGCTCCGATAGATACCGTGGAAATTCCGGAAGAGTGAAGACATCGCAAGTTAATCACAAATCAATTAAGGAACATGATTTTTAATATTGTGAAAAGATAAATATTAAAATAAATTCATAAAATTAAGTCAATACTTTATTGTATGAATTTTAGAATTTACTTCTGAATAATCTTATGATGGTAGATTTGATCGAATTAATTTACAGTAGCTGAAAAATATATATTGAATACACTCATATATAAATATGTATTTATAACTAGTGTTTTACATTTTGATCATGTTAAAACTTCTTAATTAATAAATTTATATAAACAATACATGATTATGTATTTGTCCTAAATATTTTTACATAAAAAATTAAAGAAAAATTATTAGTATGCGCATAATGTTTATACACGGGTATTTATTTAAAATTTTGTGTAACATAAATTATTATTGCTCGATCATTCACACAACTTTATTATGCACATATCATAAGCTGTACATTGGAAATACACATGTGGGAATATGGTTTGCTCCACCATAGCACGGTACTACATTTAGCATGCTTTCCCAAACAATCATCCCTTCAATAATCGCTAACCGTGTTATAATCATGCTCATATTATAGCGAATAAAGAGTATCGTTAGTCGTACGCACTTTATATTAAATGCTTACTTACAAGACTATATTACTCACCGCTTCCCCATTTCTTTCTCTTTTTCACTTTTCTCTCTTTTCCTTTTTTTTTTTGTATTCGCATATAACGCCAACACAAACTACCAATTTGCTATGGGTCTGTTTATCAAGTGGTCATTGAGCTGTTAAAAACAGTCTTTGAGCCACGATTCATTTAATTACAAACAGCAAATGGCCACAGAGCTGCTACTACAGTCCGTGCACCACAGCTTACTACAATGGTCATAGAGCTATATTTTAGTCTATGAGCCACAATTACTACAATGGTCACAGAGCTGTCACTGATGTCTGTGAGCCATAATTTATTATTATTATTATTTTTTTTTTATTTTTTTTTTTTCCTTTCCTTTACAGGGCTGGCTTGTCCAATTTGAGCTTTGGCTCCATACAAATATTCTCGGGTGGTGGGGGTGGGACTATAAAGCTAGCCTATCAATAAGGCGAGCAATAGCGAAACCAAAGAGGAAGAACAAATACTAACAAACAATCTCTATTTAAATCCATATTTTCCCTTTTACGGGAATTTTCACACAAAACAATCTCTCAAAGAATTCCATTACATCATAGGACTTTACTTGTCCTTCCCGATATATATTTGGTCATGTGTTGTCACGTGATCTTGCAATAATGCTGGCCTTGTCACTTCATTGACAAGCCAGTCATTATTATTGCTCGATCATTCACACAACTTTATTATGCACATATCATAAGCTGTACATTGGAAATACACATGTGGGAACAAGAAGAGGATCAGAATGATAATCCCAAATTTCTTACTAACATCATTATTCTCATCATTCGTTCATTCTTTTCATTCATTTTTTTTTTTTTTAAAATCTCATTCTCTTTGACATTTCCATCTGTGCTGTACCTATTGATCGTAAATATAACATAACCGCCTTACTGTCCCAACCTCCAATTGCACGGATCTGAGTTAACAATAAACCTGCCTTCATCGCTGCTGTGGCACCACCAATTCTAATACTATGAGCTGTATATTATACTGACAACTGTGCATTATCAGCTACTCTCTTCACAATAGCTCTAATAGCTCCAACAGTCATTTTCTTTTTTCTATTTGACAAGAATAGCGGCCAATTTTTCTGGGTTTTTGGTCTGATTAAGAAATATCTCTTAAGCAACCTAACTGGGCAACAAAGGCTATTTGAAATTTCAATAAGAATAAATTTTCTATTAGAAAACTGATCGGTCTTTGAATTACAAATCCGTATCCAACATAAATTTTCATTAAATTTAACATCCTCCAACTTCAAATTACATAATTCTACTGGCCTACACATTGTTCTTAATTCTATTGCAATCAAAGCTGTATCTTGTATCCATATATTCATGTCTGCAAATCGTGGTTTATTAATAACAAACCTTCTCAACGCAAAAATCGGTAGTGGATGACATGGCCATTCTGGCTTTTTATCCTTCCTTGATTCCTTTATCAATGCCTTATAAACCCTCCTAACATTATATAACTTCGATGGGTCAGGTAATGATCTTTCTAGGTGTTCTCTTGATACAGCTGCAAGTATATCTGAACAAACCGATACAGCATCCGTTAAATCTAACCAAATCAAACATAACAAGAGGAAATCCTCCGATGACGGAATAGCACGTTGACCTGTAACTCCACAATATTCTAAATAAGTTTTCCATACTTTATCCAACCTTTTATTCCAATTTTCTGAATATGATTTCCTTACTAAATTTTTTGCCTTATCTAACAAGGCTTTGACTAATTTACTCTTACTGCTATAAACTGCTATTTCTTGTTCCTCTACGGCTCTACTTCCTCTGATAATCCTATTTCGAATGCTATCCAAGGTGGTGAAATTTCTACATAGTCGGTTTAATATAGCAAAAGTATTGGCCACCACTCCGCCAATACCCATATTGGTACAATTATTGTTGCTGATGCTTTTCTTTCTATTACATGCTGGAGTACACGATGAATTAAGCCCAAGGGGGGGCAAACATAATTGTTCTCACTATCCCAACTTTGTGTAAAACAATTTACTGCCTCGGTTCCTGGATAATAGAAATGGCTGTTGAATCTTGTGAGCTTTGTGTTTTGGTAATCCGCCATTCTGTCTATAGTATGAGGACCCCACCTTTCTTCCAATTCCAAAAACATCTTCTGTGCCAATTTCCATCCTGATGGATCTAATACTTGGGTTAACTTGTCGGCCGGGTTTACTTTCGATGGGACCCAAAAGGTCTCATTTAGCCAAATATCGTACTCGTCCAGCAGACTCCAAAATTCTTTCAACAAGGCCTTTTGCCATAGTAACTTTTCCTTCTTTTACTACTGTAGCTAGAGCTACACGATTGTCTATATGTATGTCTATCCACGAATGGCTCAGAAGCTTTGCGAAGGATTTTACACCTAAAATTACTGCACTTGCCTCGAGTTTCGCTATTTCTCTGTATGAATGCCACCTTTCCCAATTTCCAAATGCCTGATTCTTTCCGAATATTGCTGTCTAGCCTATCATCGAAGCATCGATATAAAGTACTTTTGTTTTTGATAGCTTCCAAGCCGGTTTTCTATTTTTTGTCACCAGATTTTGAGCTAATCATTCTGCATCCTCCCAAGCTTGATTTGTTAATTTTATATGTATATCCCAGTCCCACCATTTTCTGTTTATTGCATCTATCAACGAATAGAATTCCAGACAACACATTCTCGTATGAGCAAAGGCTCTGCTCAACGATTGTACCTTTCCGGCCACCACAGCCAACCGACGAACAGAAATTGTTTCCATCCTAGCACATTCCAAAAGCAGCTTCTGTGTCTCCAAAATTTTCTCTTGGGGTATGATAACTAATGCCTTGCGTGTATCTATAATTATGCCATAAAATCTCGGTTGCTGAGTTGGCTCCTATTGACCCTTGCATTGTGCTCTTACAAAGCCACAATTTATCAAGTCCACTTCTATTACTGCATCTCTTATTCGCTTCAATGTTTCCTCGCAAGGATGTGCTACCCAAATATTGTCAACGTGGTTCCCACAAAAAATTTCTAAAGACCTCCAGTGATCTATAATCGCCCTCATTATTTTTGAGAAAATCCAGACTGCCTGTAATAGCCCGAAAGGCAGTACCCTGTAATAGTACCAATTGCCCAAAATCTTGAATCCCAAAAAACATTGTGCGTACTTTGTCATCAAGACATGATGATACCCTTCTTTTAAATCCATTATGATCACATACCAATTTTTTCCAATTGGCATAAAAAGCTACCCAATCCTTCGAAGCGGAAGCTTTTTTCTGATAAAGTAGCATTTAATTGCCTTAGATCTATTACCATCCGCCACTTTTTCGGACCCTTTTTTGGTACAAGGAATACTGGGCTCACTTCTAGTAAAAAATCCAGCCATTTTATCTGGTCTCCTAACCAACAAATTGGCTTCGTTTCTTGCAAATGTTCTAACTCATTTCTGACCCACACTGGTCAAAATTTTTTAATATAAAAGACCGATATTTGGAAGATAGCTATTCGAATATCGTATAGATGATATAAATATAAATAATATAATCAATGAAATATCGGCTTAAAATCATAGGAAGATA